GCCCACGTTCCCGGAGATGGCGGCCCCTGGCAACCACAAGATGAGCAGCCCATGCTCAGCACACTCGCTGGTATTGCCGACCTTCCTCCTGCGCTCCTCGGGGTTGGGCGAGTTCCCCTTGATGTCCTTCACCCAGACCAGCCCTGGTGCCGCTGTCCAAGCAGCTGCCCGCGCGTCTGCGTGAGGCTTGACGTAGCGCTGGAACCCCTTGCCCCAAGGATCGCCATCGACCACCAAGTAGTCGGGGCGGAGCTGCTCGAGCCCGCACGGCGGCCTCCTCCTTCGAGGCAGAGGGAGCACCAGAGGTGAACATCGAACTCCGCAGGCCAGCGCGGATCTCTTGCATCAGCGCCGAGCACCGCTCCGCGGAGCGCGGAGCACGCGAGGGGCGGCGCTGGTTGGCGGCGCGCACAAGGGGGTAGGGGGAGGGGGGAAGGCTTCTTAGAGGGAGGCTGCTTCTTAGAAGGCGCGGGCCTTACATCTACAGACGAGGCTGGCGCCTTCTAAGAAGTAGGGGTGCTTCTAAGAAGCCTTCCCCCCTCCCTACCCCCCTTTGCGCGTTGCCGAGCTGGAGGCGCCGCCAGGGGGTCCCGCGCAGATCCACGAGATCTGCGCGGAGCTTCACGAGCGGCGAAGCGTGTCCGCGGCCTCGCGCTCCCGGACTCCGCGGCGCGACCTCCCGCGGACACGCCGCCGCACGCACACGTCCCGCGCGGGGGCACCCGCGAAACGACGCCCCCTACTCCCGGTTATGGGCCTGCTTTCCACCACCACCACCATGAGTTGGAGGGGAAGGTGGTCCTCCTCCTCCTCCTCCTCCTCCTCCTCCTCCTCCTCCTCCTCTTCTTCCACCTTCTCGTCGTCGTCCTCCTCCTCCTCCTCCTGGTCCTCCTCCTCCTCCTTCCCCCCTCCAACTTCTGGTGGTGGTGGTGGTGGAGAACAGGCCCACCATCCCAAGGTGGAGGCTCATGGCCCGGGCCGCGTTGCCGCGGATACGGATACGGACAGATGCGGGATGGGGAGACGGAGGGAGGAGGGGCGGCTGGGAGGAGGGGACGGACACCCGCCCCGGTAAGAGGGGGCAGGCAAACCAGTGGAAGAAACGCGAGGAACTGCCGGCGTGGCGCCGACCTCTTTGGGAGGGCCTGATGTTCTGGTCGACATGGTCTTCGCATATTCCGCCGACCGTCTGCCGCTTTTTTATCTGGCGGAACGGCTAGGTGTTGAATTTCCGCCAGCCTGGCCGCCGAGGGAGGGACGTCAAGAGGAGGAGGAGGAGGAGGAGGAGGAGGAGGAGGAGGAGGAGGAGGAGGAGGAGAAGGAGGAGGAGGAGGAGGAGGAGGGGGAGGAAGAGGAGGAGGAGGAGGAGGAGGAGGAGGAGGAGGAGGAGGAGGAGGACAACATCCCGATTGGGGTGGAGATGACAAAGGGGCAGGAGCGGGAGCGTGCTTCAGCAGGCCACATTGTCCTCCTCACAGCTCCGGCATTCCATGTTGATGTTGCTCGGGCTGGTGTCTGAAGTGCTCAACTTCTCTGAAACGCCAGCAAGCAGATCTGCGCCGTTTGACTCAATTTTGCGTGTGCTCCCTGGCTTGCGTCTTTCCTGCAAAAAAACACGCACACAATACTTGCCAGTCCGGTCCTTCACCTCACGGGACGTGACCAACACCTGATGCTCTGGACGCGCTTGCCAAAACCTCACTGGAGCACCGTGTTCGCCATGAACGGCTCTGATTGATTTGACCACCTCAACAAATGACTTCTGCAAATCTTTTGAGAAGACTTTCGGTTCAAGCTTGCTCCACGTATTGACCACTGGGTACTCACAACATCTGGATCATAATTTTGGTTGATTGTGATTTTCGCATATGGCACAAGATCAGCTGCCGTCCTTGTCGGCTGCCTGTAATTCGTAAGTCCACCAACGTCCACTCCCGGATGAACGAACTTGGTGTTGGTGCTGCTGAAGCCGTAGCCAACGCCATCCAGCGGCTGTGTCCTGGTGTGGAAAAGTTGATATCACTCTTGCCTGGAAGGTCAACGTGTCCGAATCTGCCACTTTGCTGACCATCCACCGTCCCCAGCAAGCACGACGGCGATAACCTTCTCTTTGCTCACAACCGACGGGCGTGTGACTTCAGGAAACAACTCAGTCGAGATTCCGCATTTCACGCAGAATGTGTCGATCACTTCTCGCTCCCATGTTCTGTAATCCTCCGCGCTAACCGTTTGCATGACCTTCGCCTCCGACGGCTGCATGGCCCGCTCCAGCACTAGGTCACGAAAGTCCGCTCTGGCCAAACGGGAAACCCTTTCAGAGAAAAGAAAACACTTGCTTGAACCAAAACGGCTAGACCTCGGACGTCCAAGTCCCGGGTTCGATCGGGAGGATGCGGAGGACCACCCTCCTTCGCGACGTCGCCGTGAACGCCGTCGACGCCGCCGCCGTCGCCACCGCTGTCGTCATCGCCGCCGTGACCGTTGTCCTCGCCGCAGTCGTGGTCGTCGCCGTGCCATCGTCGACGGTGTCGCTGCCGCCGCTGTCGCCGCCGCAATCGCCGTCGCCCTCCTCGCCGCCATCGCGACCGCCATTCTGGCGCCGTCGTCGTGCTCGCCGCCATCGCCGCCGCTCGCCCCCGTCGCCGCCCGCAGACGTCGCCGCCGTATATCTGCCGCTCGCCGCCGGTCGCCGCCGTCCCCGCTCGCCAGCGCCGTCTCCGTCACCGCCGCTCGCAGCTCGCAGGGGCGGGGGCTGGGCGAGGGCCTTGCCGGCTCCGCCGAGGAGCCCCTCGCGCGCGGGCTCGAAGTAGAGCTGGCACAGCGGCTGCCACACCTCCGAAAAGCACGTCGCCGTCGCCGTCACCGCTGCCAGAGTCTCTGTCGAGGTCATCGCTATCGTCGGCGACGCCGTCGTGGACGTCGCCAAGGAGCAGGAGGAGGGGGAGGAGGATGAGGAGGAGGAGGAGGAAGAGGAGGCCACCGCCGTCGTCGTCGTCGTCGTCGTCGTCGTCGTCGTCGTCGTCGTCGCCACCCTCACCGCCGCCGCAACTGTCGCGGGCCCTGGGGCGATCAACAGGCAACGCGCATCGAGGGTCGCCGCTGGGGTGAGGCGGCGACCCCCGCGGACCCCCATTGGGCGGTCTCAGGGCCCCAAAACGCTGGAAGTGTGCCAAAATCGTCAAGAGTCTGCGGAACAGTCATTATTGGTGCCTCCTGGGGCTCTCGTGGTGGCCCTCTTGGGTACCTCTTCGGCCGTTACGTCGGGCCTTTCGGGCCATCTTGTAGCCATTGCGGCCAGTCCTGACACGAGCTTGGACCGTCTGAGAGATCATCTCGCCAGCCGCGCCGCCCTGCCTGGCCAAATCGGATGTGTGGCACGCCGGTCTTGTGCGCTGGGGACGGCCTGAGGGGTTCGACCTCCCCTGGGTCTGTACAGGTGGGGGGGCGGGGGGGGGCGCGACCAGCGAGAGCGTCCAACATGTCCCAAGCAGGCTCCAACGGCCTCAGAGCGCCCAGCGTGGCCTCCAGGATACCTCAGGAGACCGCCCCCAAGCTGGTTCCAATGAAGCCCCAAAGGGGCTCGTTGGGGCTGCAAAACGGATCGATGCTTGCTCAAGAGCGCCCCAAGAGAGTCCAGAACGGCATAAGCGACTGTTCAGGCCCTAGGGATGGGCAAGGCTAGATGAACCAAGCTTCCATAATCGTGTCCTCAAAAAGGGCCCCCCAGAAGGCCCGAAAAGGGTTTCCAAAAGCTTTCAAAATGGCCCCAAGAGAATTGCAATACGGTGCCAAGAGGCCTCCAATATGCTTCCACGAAGATATTGGGGTGCAAAATCAGCGAAGGTCTTCATGATTCCGAGGCGGCGGCCCTCTGGGGCCTGGAGGGAGTTTCGCCTGAGACCTCCACCGTCGTGCTGGCCTCCTTGGGCTCGCGGGGGTCTGGGGTGCCGCGGGGGTTGGTCGTGGGCCCCTCCGAGGCCGCCTCCTGCTCTGGATCCCATGCGGTCCCAGTGGAGCCAGAGGTGCCGCCGACCTTGGCGACCGAGGGCCTTGAACGTACCCTGGCTGTTAGGCGGGTGAGGTTTCGGACAGAGGAGGAGCAGTGGGATCCGGACCTGTCGGATGCGTGCAGGCTGGCCAAGGCCGCGCGTCCCCAGGGCTCCGAGGAGCCCAGGCCCCCTCCTCCCCTCCCTGCCTCTTCCAGGCGGAGGCGGGACCTCTCGGAGGAAGGGCCCCCTGTGGGGCCGCGCCCGAAGGCCCCCAGGCTCCTGGCCCCTGGCGGCGCCGCTGGCAGCGAGCCTCCGCTCCCTGTTGGCGTTGGCGGGCCTCCGCCCGCCAAGAGGCCCAGGACCTCTGGGGGTCCGCGGCGCGCCGACTCCTGGACTGCGAAAGAGGCCGCCCTCCCTGATGTCCCCCTTCCCGCTCAGGGCCCTGTAGGGCCCAGTAGCGCTCGGGGACACCAGATCAGTCTTGCTGGAGCTACCCTTGCATTCTGCCATCGGTGTGGGGCCAGGGCCCAGCCGTCGGCCCCCCGCTCGCGTCTTTGGGGCTGGTGCGAGGGTATTGCATCCAATAAAGACTCAACTTATTTAAAGTCCCTCGAGGTAGGCAATGACCGCATCTCGGGAGAGTGGAGGGGTGACCCCCGTCCCCTCTTGCCCTCAGACGATGCCTGTTTCTGGCTTCGTCTGAGGTAGCTTGAGCCCGCTCTCGCTCGCTCAAGTTCCTTTTTCTTTCTCCGTAATTGTAGTGTTGCGCGTTCTCGTCCTTTTTCCTGCTCGTGCACTTTGCCTGTCCGTTGCTCTGCGCACGCTTCTCGATGTGGTCGTGCCTCCTCCTCGTCCTTGTCGCCCTCCTGCTCCCACCACCCTCATCTTCCTGCATTCTCACCCTCCACCTTCTCCACTTTCTCCTCAGTCTCCTCCTTTTCCGACGCAAGCTCGGCAATTCAACTCCGGGGTATGTCAGGAGGAATCCAAGCTTCGGCTTGACGGCTGACTCACCTGTCCGTCTTCTGAAATCGCCTGCACTTTCGTGATCAAAACAACTCACCTGGTGATCACTTCTGAATGGGCACATGGGGACACGCGAAGCGTCAATACCTTGCACGGCGATTAGTGGCGGCTGGAAGGCGCTTGAGTGTTTCTTCGTTGAGGCGAGATCGCCCGCCCAGCGTTCAGAATAAATATTGCTACCTCACACTAGCATGCGATGCGCGGCACACCGTAGCCGTGTGATTCATAAAGCTGGGCGTCTGCTCAAGGATGATGCCTGGCAGACCGAAAGCGCATAGCGTTTCGCAAACGGGTGAAATGTGCTTGAATATCTTCTTTGACGACGAATTAATGAAGCCCATCAAAGTTGAGATTCACAGTTGGTCCACTCTCACACCCAGGAACTCAGGGTATACGTAGAATTCCACCATTGCCATAACAACCGCCACTCAGTCGTTCCAATATTCGGTTGATATGTGTTCATTGCTTCAGGAGCTGCGACGCACGCTCCTTTGCCAAGCGGTCATACATTACGATGCTACCGGCATTGGCTACGTTGAAGCTTGCGGAGCGCAGGCTCGGGATGGAGACCACGGCATGGCACGCCTGCAGGACCGAGCTCTCGATGCCTGCGTCCTCGCTGCCAAGAACATAGATGCACCTCGACGGGTGCTCAAAGGCGTCGAGGGGCTCCCCGCCCATCTCCACAGCCACCAGCGGCGCGCCGAAGGGCAGACTTTGCGCGAAGGCAGCGAAGTCAACAAAGGACCATTGAGGACAACTGCTGGCACAGTGGGCCCGGTCGGTCATCCCGTCTCGGCGCTGGTCGTAGCGCGCGCCCACGCTGAACGTGAAGCTGGCGCCAAGCTGGAAAGCGCTTCGCCAGAGCAGCCCGTGATTCGTCTCCGTTTTCCCACGGACGATGCCAATACCAAAGAAGCCCGCCGGAGCCTCCAAACGCAGCTCTTGCAAGGCACGAGACGTGAAACCCATAGTTTCCTCCAGCTGCACGTCGACGCACTCACGCTCCGGCGGCTGCTCGCCACTGGGCTGCTGCTCCGAGGGGACCTTCTGCGGCCGTCCCGCCAAGCTGGGCACCGTGGAGACCGCCTCCTCGTCTCCGTGCGGCAGCGGGAGGAATCCGCCCCAAGAGTTGCAGTAGGAGAAGGCCGCAAAGCGAGAGAGGTTCACGCCCGCCTCGTTGCAGAGGCAAGCTCTGATTGCTCTTGCCGGCACGGTGCCCTTTTCGCCGGGGCAGCGGAATACGCAGATCTTGCCCTGCCCGGCCTTTTGGCCCTTGAAGAAATATCTCAGGCCCACCTCTCTCCACGCTGCCTCTGCAGGCTCCTCCCGCTCCTGAGGACCCACGCCGCTCAAAACAGAGTCCTTTGATGGGCCCATGTTCCACCACCACTACCACAGGTAAGGAGAGGGAGGAGGAGGAGGAGGAGGAGGAGGAGGAGGAGGAGGAGAAGGAGGAGGAAGAGCAGGAGGAGGAAGAGCAGGAGGAGGAGGAGGAGGAGGGGGGGGAGGAGGAGGAGAACCTCCTCGTCATCCCTTCTCCCCCCTCCTAGATCTGGCAGTGGTGGTGGAACACCTGCCCATCACCTTCCCCGCCCTCCCCCGCCTCCGCCTGGCCCCGGCCAGGGCCTGTGCAGGCCGGCGCCTCGGACGGAGCACTGGCCCGAGCCTCCCGCGCCGCAGCACCTCCGAGGCCAGGGCCCCACCGGGACGGCACGGGAGGCCGCGGCCATCCGGCGCTGCTGCGGCGGCTCGCGCCGAGGTCCGCCGCGCCGCCCCGCAGGCCCGCGACCTCCTGGCGGAGCTCCTGCACGCTGCGCTGCAGCTCGGCGAGGAGAGGCGGTATGGCCGCGAGGCAGGGCAGCACCTGGGCAGCGGCACTGAGCTCTTCCAGGAGTCCGTCGAAGTCTGCGGCCTGCCGGGGCTCTGCCACCGGCGCTGCTTCCCGGAAGCTTCCAGGTAGGGGCTCAGCCGTTCGACGGGCGGCGGCCATCACGGCAGGAGCGACAGCCTCAGGCTGGACAAATGCCTGAGCCAACAGCATGACACAGGCGACGGGAGATGCTGCAACACGCCCTCCTGCCCCCCAAACTAAACCCTCCGAATATGTCCCGACAGTCTCTATATGTCGTTTCAGGCAGCCTCCACTCTGCAAGACAAGCGCACAGCAGCCCACGGGCAGCCCATTAGACCATTCAAGCGAGAGCCCCGGTTTGAAAAGATGCAGCTACCAAGAGTGCGATCAAGTAAGGTCCAACCGTCTGGAGACACTTCCAGTGAGAGACCCATCTTGAAAAGGGCGCCGCCCTCCTGCCACGGACGACAAGTTTCTTCCCCGCATCGGCGATACATCGGCGATGCGGCGCGATCCCCCAACCCCATCTACTCGGACCCCATCTAGGAGGCCTAGATACTGGACCCCCCCCGCCCCCCCCCTCTTGGGACCGGGCCCCGGACGACAGGTACCCCAAGCACTGTATCGAGGTACTCAGAGCATCGCGAGAAGAGGCCGCCCTCAACCCGCGTGGCTGCCGTACAAGCTGTGCCATATCGCCACCACTTCCAAAAAGGCATATCAAACAGGAGCCCCATGCTGAAAAGCTACGGATCTTTGTGCGCGGGGGTACCGAGAGCCAAATCCCGAAAACCACCCGGCATCCATCCGTACCTGTTGGGACCTGTTTTAAGGCAGCGCCAGAACACACATGTTGAAAACACGCCGCCCACCCATGCGTGCAGCTGTCGATAATGGCCAACGACAGGATCATAAGGCTCCAGCGAACCGTCCAGCCCGCCTTACCGACTCGCCAGGTGGCGCGACGAGGAGGAGGTGTGCTGTATGAAGGGGGATGGACGGGCGAGGACAAAGCGAGGACCGGGAGAGATGATGGAGGGTGCGTCCACACGTACCCCCATGTCGAATCGTGGGTCGACCCCTTCCAGGCCAAGCAGTGGCTGTACGACGTGGCGCACCGCTGCCCGCTGGTCGCGGGACGCACCCGACTACTGTCGCAACTCACTCGGCCACACGCAGGAGTGACCCTGGGCACGAGTGACCTCTGGTGCGCGGCTTTCTTGGGGGGCCGCGTGGGGACCGGACCTGGGCGCGCAAGCAGCTGCTGCCGCCTCGTGGTTGGCCATCTGGGGACTCACCTGTGCCCGCACCAGAGGTCACTCCGGCGAAAGGTCACTCTCACGTCTAACCGACTCACGGGGGAGGAGGAGGAGGAGGAGGAGGAGGAGGAGGAGGAGGAGGAGGAGGAGGAGGAGGAGGAGGAGGAGGAGGAGGAGGAGGAGGAGGAGGAGGAGGAGGAGGAGGAGGACGATGCTTGGGGCGATGCTTGGCCGCGATGCCTCCCAAGAGAGTGCCCCGACGGGGAGTCGGCGGCACGGCCGGCGCGCCACGCGGCCCGGGCGGGACCCACGTCGTGCTGCTGGCTTCCCTCCCGCGCGCTCCGTCGTCCCTCCCTGCTCTTTCGCGCTCGGGCCCGATCGACCGAGTAAGGGGAAGAGAAGGCGGGGTGTGCCCCGCAGGGAGAAGGAGTAGGAGGCGGTGGGGCGCATCTGCTCCCTTGGAGGCCCTCTTCTTTTCTGGTCCTTGCTGCCTCTGCTAGACTGCGGCGCCCGCCAGGTCTAAAAAACTGTTGCTCGCTTCGCTAAGTCGCGTTCTTTCTTTCTTTCTTTCTTTCTTTTTCTCTCTCTCTCTCTCTTTTCTCATATCCACTGACGCTCCAGGCTGCAGCCCTACGCCCTACGTTTGCGCAGCCTCAAAAGAGGTGGTGGGGCGGCGGAGCATGTCCCGATCTCTTGCGAAGCACAGCGTGCAAAGGCGGTGGGTGAGAAGAGGGGGGAGGGGGAGGAGGAGGAGGAGGGAGGAGAGACGAGGGTGGAGGAGGAGGGGGAGGAGGAGGAGGAGGAGGAGGAGGAGGAGAAGGAGGAGGAGGAGGAGGAGAAGGAGGAGGAGGAGGAGGAGGAGGAGAGACTTCAGGTAGCAGACGGAGCCAAAGCTGTGCTTCGAGGAGCCTATGTGCTTGCCGCCGATCGGATGGGGAGAAGCCAAACAGGGTTCCAGTTGCCCATGGAAAGGGGATGACGAGAGGAGGTGGCGGAGGAGCAAGACGAGGGGCTGAAGGGGGGGACAGAGATAGAGAGAGAGAGAGAGAGAGAAAGAGTGAGTGAGAGAGAGGGGGGGGAGAGAGAGAGAGAGAGAGAGAGAGAGAGGGAAAGGGAGAACGAGAGAGAGAGAAAGAGAGAGGGAGAGAGAACGAGAGAAAGAGAGAAAGAGAGAAAGAGAGAGAGAGCGAGACAGACAGTGAGAGACGATCCCGGATGGAGTGTGAGGGGAAGCAGAAAAGTACAATTCGGCACCGTTGAACTTTAAGCATGACCCATCGGAAAACCGCGCGGAATTCTTGGATCGGCGCTGGATCCCCTCCCTGGAGCGCGGAGCGCGCCAGGAGCGGCGCTGGAGGGGCCGCCAGGGGGGTTCAGAGCCCTGCAAGGCCCCAAAGACCTCAAAGATTGAGCCACGATCCCCCTCCTGGAGGTGGAGAGGGGGCGACGGGGGAGCAGGAGGGGAGGAGCAAGCGGGAGGGGAGGGTGGTGGTGGTGGTGGCCTGGGGAGGCATCGGGTGGGGCCGCGGGCACAGCCCCTTTAGCAGCGCCTCCCGTTCAGGGATGGCTGGGGTACAGCCCACCGCCTGTCTCGGGGATCCAGCAACCGCAGCGTCACGGAGCAACTCAATCCAAGAGACCTCCGGGGGAGACCCCCCCTGGGACCTCTCCGCCTCCACCACTCAGACCACAGGAGGGCCAGCCGCACCCTCCTCCCTGACCCGCGGAGCGGGCTTTCCCGGAAGAGGAGAAGGCTGCAGCTGGACGCCCCTCCAGGGACCGAGGGGAAGATGGGCCGCTCCCAGGGGGGACCCGCCTGCCTCAAGTGCCTGGAGGACACCGTAAACGCGGAGTGGGGATGGGCAGTGTGAGAGTTCTCGGCTCACCTCCACTGGGGTCCCGCCCGTCCGTACCAACCCTGATGCCACCGCAGCGCGCAACTACGAGGCGTTGAGAGAAGGCCAGAGGAGACCCTCCCCGGGGTGCGGCACCCCCGCCCCCACCCCTGCTCGGCTGAGGGGCGCGGCCCAGCCTGCGGGGAGAGGCAGGGGGGGAGGAGCGGTTGGGGATTTCTGGGCTCTGGCCCTGAGGTCAACGCCCGGCCCAGAACCTATGTTGCTGCCTGTCGATAGCCGCCGCGAGCGCCACCGCCTCTGCATAGCCTGCTGCCCCCGGCCTGCTCCCCAGCAGCACCAGCGTGCAGCACTCCGGGGATGGCGGCTGCTGTTGCGCCCGCGCCGCCCAGAAGGCGTCCCGCCCCGCCTGTGTCCATGGGCAGTCGCTGCACGCGTGAATTGAGAGACTGCGGCGCCGCGCTCCGCACAGCACGCACGGCTGCCCAGGAGCGGCGCCCACCAAGGACTGGCAGGCCCGCCCGCCAGCGGCTGATGGACCGCACCCCCTGCAGTACCTCCCAGCCAAGCTCTGCCCGGAGAGCTATCGCGAGGTCCCCCACAGGCCCCTCGCAAAGCGAGAGCAAAGGGACTGGCCGTTCATGCAGGCGCGCCCTGGCCTGCCACTCCGCCAGGCACCTGCGCGAGACCTGGGAGGAGACGTCCGCAAAGTAAGCCTCGCGCTGCTCCCCCGGGTGGGCCCGCGCCCAGCCTGGCCAGTCGTCCACCCCCCAGGAGGCCAGGAGCGCCAGGGACCTGCTTGCCCAGGAAAAGCCTGTCCAACCATGGGCAGCCTGGAAGACGGCCCGGTAGAGGTCTCCCTCCGGGAGGGCCCAAAGACCAGCCCTGCGGCGCGCTACGTCAATGACTCCTCTGCCCGCGCCAGAAACTGTCCATCCCAGCTCCGCCTCCGCCACCGTGGAGGTGCGCCATGGGGGGGCACCCAGGAGCGCCCTGGCCCAGCTCTGGTAAGCCTCGTCCACCGCTTCGGCGCTGCCCTCCCCAACGCACCACAGCCAGCGCCCAAATCGGAGGCCGCCCTCTATCTTCATGTCGAAGATGCTCGCCGTGACCGGCAGGGGGACATCGCCGCTGGCCACCTGGCCCGCCAGGGACGCCACCTGCGCCGCCGCCGCCGCCAGGCGCATGCGGCACATGGCGCCCAGGTCCAGGTCCCCGCGCCATGAAAGGCCGAGCCACTTGTGCACCTGCACGAAGCCCAACTGGACTGGTGCCTCCCCGCGCAGCCGCAGCTCGAGCGACCGCGCCGACTGGGCTGCCTCCCAAGCTGCTGGGCCACCTGAGACCAAGACCGCGTGCTTCGTGGCCTTGGTGTGGGGGCTGGCCTTCTCCGTGTACGCCCAGCGGGCCATGACCTCCACCGCCCAGGGGAGGGAGAGAAGGGAGAACGGCGTGAACGGGGATTCAAGATGACCGACTCTGGACACCCTGGGCCCAACTCTGACGCCCCGCATTCTCCTTCGCCGTCCACCTGCCGTCCCTCCGCCAGCCCACCCGCCGCCAACTTGCTCCGCCAGGCTCCGCCGAGGGCAAGACGCGCCGCAGACGAGGCCCCTGTCTGCAGAAGTGGGACTGGGGGACAACGATAGGGGGGGGACTGGCATACGGGGGGGGTGCATCGACCTAGAATCGGCGATACATCGCCGATAGATCGGCAGTCGGCCTCCGATGGTGAGTCTGCACCTTCCTGGGCAGGTTGGGACTACCGGGCCCCTGTCGGCGATCAATGGGCGATTGGGGGTCGATGCATTCCCCCCAGATGCCTATCCCCCAACATCGCTGCCCCTGAGGGACGAGGAGGATTGGGGTGGCATCGGGGCCGGCCGAGAGTGAACAGCACAAGCGTTGAGCACTGCCCACTGGCCAGCGCCGTGTAGGAGTCGTTCGCCACGGGAGTCTCTGTGTGCGGGTATGGCGTCTCCCTTCCCGCGCCAATACAGAGTCACGCAGGAGGAGGAGGAGGAGGAGGAGGAGGAGGAGGAGGAGGAGGAGGAGCAGGAGAAGGAGGAGAAGGAGGACGAGGAGGACGAGGAGGGAGAGAACAGCGGCAGGATAGGGGACAGGAGTGGTTGGGGACCGGGGACAAGAGCGTTGGCGAGGTGGAGGCTGAGCGGTTCCAGCATTTTGTTATTGCTCTGCAGTTCCGGCATGCTATGCGCTCACTACTTGCGCGGCAGTCTTTCGGCGTGCCCCTGTATACGAACCTTGCGAGCATGCAGGCGCTCCCGACACTGCGGAGCAAAAAATGCCACCGGCGCGCCTGTAGACCAGAGTCTTGCCGCAGCAGCGACGGGCGCGGGGGGCGAGTACGGGAAAAACATGGGTGGGTACGTAGCAGAAGGATGTGAAGCACGAGGGCGGGGAAGAGCGGCCTGTGGGAGATGCGCCAGAAGTTGGGAGAGGGAGGAGGAGAAGGAGGTTGAGGGATGAGAAAGGTGATGAAGTTTTGGATGATGCGGGGGAGGGAAACAGCGAAAACGGCGATAAGGATGTGGAGAGAGAGGGGGAGGCAAGAGGGGGAGGAGGAGGATGGGCGAGAAGAACAACGAGGACGGCAAGGATGAGTAGAAGGACAAAGAACACTGGGAGGATCCAGAGGTGGAGTCGGGGGACGAGGAGGCGAAGAGGCGGCGGAGGGTGCTGCGCCAGGGCGGCTCACACTGCCGCGAACCAACCGGAGCCTGAGGGAAAGGGGTCCTGGGCCCACGGGCTTCCCTGGAGCATGGGTGGTTCGCGAGGCATCACCTGGGAGGTCTTCGTGGGAACGATGAAGTACCACCAAGCCGATGAAAGGACCTTCCTGCCAGACTGGACCAATGTCAAAACTAGTTACAGTATGCTGGACTGCACATGATCGAGCCGCGGATCAAGCGGGATCAGGCCGGATCCAGCCAGTTTACGACCACGAATATAACAACACCAATGCTGAATTCAAACTCCTACGAGTTGCAACCCAAGGCAGCCTCCTCTGGGGCCTTGCAACTTCCTCTGGAGCCTTCCAGGAATGCCCCAAAGCCCAGGACACGTTCCTAGAGACCCGGCGGCGCGAGAGTTTCCACAGATCGGCCCCCCTTGCGCCCCCTTTCGCAGGGGCTAATAACTTTTCATCCTGAGTGGCTTCACGTTTGCGGCCCCGAGGCTGGCCCCCATGCAGAGGGCCAGGGTGACGAAAAACTGGCCGCCCCGATATTTCCGAGCCACAAGATCTCTGGCCTGTGGGGGCGCAACAAGATACCGGCACGGCGGTTCACTTGGCGGCGAGTCCTGGGGGGAAATGAGGGGGGGCGGGCCTTCCAGAAGAGGACTCGGAAGTCCCCCAGACTCCTCAGAAGCTTTCGAATCCTTCCCCGAATAGAAAGCAAAAACTTCTCAAAGGCGCGAGGGCTTCTGAGAAGTCGCGCCGCCTTCTAAGAAGGCCTCCTCCTTCAGAGGTGGACAAACCTCCCTTTAGTAAACAACCCCGTAGTGATAACGGCCTAAGACCGAAACCGACGGACCTGGACCCGCAAAAATGACGGCCGCGACGCCCTCTCGCGAACCGAAAACGGCCAATTCGCTAATCGACGTGTCAGGGTAAGAAGTCTGTCAACCTCCGACGCCTTCTGAGAAGGCCTCCTCCTCCTTACTTCCCCCCTTCGCTCGCCGCCGAGGTGCCGCGGCTCCCTGCACCTATCCCTGCGCAGACTCCGACCCACCACTCCAGAGCAAGTAGGGCCGTGGCGGCGAGGGGCCCCCCACGGATGCCAGCGAGGAGGCGAACACGAGGAGAGGCCCATCGGTGTCCTTCTCCCTCCTCCTCCTCCCTCCTCCCCCTCCTCCTCCTCCTCCTCCTCCTCCTCCTCCTCCCCTCCTCCCCCTCCTCCCCCCTCCCCCCCCTCCTCCTCCTCCTCCTCCTCCTCCTCCTCCTCCTCCTCCTCCTCCTCCTCCTCCTCCTCCTCCTCGAGTACAGATGCGACAATGAATGGGGCAACTATCGGCCAGTTCAATGTGGAAGAGAAGTGAGCCGAGCGAGAGAGGAGAGAATAGGATAGAATAAACAACAATAAGGTACTCAGACCCCCCAGCAAAAGTTTGGGAAGCAAGGGCCTCCCGACCCTCTCCCCCTCCTCCTTTTGAGATGTCGTGTCGTCGTCTCCTCCCCCCTAGCTTGGGCGTGCTGCTAAGCCCGCGCGTCCCCACCCCTTGGGCACGCGGATGGGCCAGCAGCTGCTCCCCCCACACTGACCCGCAGGGACTCGAAAACGTAAGGTAGCGAGCCTCTCTTTCAGGGCCACCTCGGAGCTCACTCCTTGAGCAACGGGGTATACCACCTGCCGGCCCCAGTGAGAAGTCAGGCCGTTGCACAACCAATCGCAGGGGATTTTGCCAGATGCGAGCAAGCCACCAACGTAGGTGTTTTGACATTGAGACCCCTTATGCGGATGTCCTTGTCCTTGTCCTTGTCCTTGTCCTCCTCCTCCTCCTCCTCCTCCTCCTCCTCCTCCTCCTCTGCCTCCTGCTCCTGCTCCGCTCCTGCTCCTGCTCCTCCTCTTGCCCCCTCCTGTTTTAAAACGCTTGCTCAAGTGAAAGACAAGCTTGTAGCGTCCTTGAGTGATTGTGACAAAGAAGAAGCCCGACTCGGGGCACTGGTACCTGGCGGGCGCCGCAGACACAGCTGTAGAGAGAAAGAGAGAGAGAGAGAGAGAAACCAACAATAAAAAAACGGCAGAGAGTAGACCAGTTCGTAGGCGCCCGCCAGGTACAGTAGGCGCCTCCCTCCTCCTCCTCCTCCTCCTCCTCCTCCTCCTCCTGCTGCTCCCTCCCCCCTCCTCCTCCTCCCCTCCAACTCCTCCTCCTCCACCTCCTCCTCCTCCTCCTCCTCCTCCTCCTCCTCCTCCTCCTACCTCCTCCACTCCTCCTCCTCCTCCTCCTCCTCCTCCTCCTCCTCCTCTCCTCCTCCCTCCTCCGCCTCCTCCCCCTCCTCCTCCTCCTCCTCCTCCTCCTCCCCCTCCTCCTCCTCCTCTTCCTCCTCCCACCTCCTCCTCCTCCTCCTCCACCTCCTCCTCCTCCTCCTCTCCTCCACCCTCCTCCTCTCCTTCTCCTCCTCCTCCTCCTCCTCCTCCTCCTCCTCCTCCTCCTCCTCCTCCTCCTCCTATTCCCCCTCCTCCTTCCTCCCTCCTCCTCTCCTCCTCCACCTCCTTCCTCCTCCCTCCTCCTCCTCCTCCTCCTCCTCCTCCTCCTCCTCCTCCTCCTCCTTCTCCTGCCCCTCCTCCCCCTCCTCCTCCTCCTCCTCCTCCTCCTCCTCCTCCTCCTTCTCCTGCCCCTCCTCCCCCTCCTCCTCTGGCGGCCCAGGGCGGCTCAGAGGGCCGGCCACCACCGCTCCACGCCGCTGGGGTTGGCAGGCCTCGGCCGCGGGCTGGTCGGCGCAGGCCCGCTGCTCCTCGCGGCCACTGCGCCGCTGCCGCCGCGGTCGTCGCCGCCGCCGCCGCCGCCGAGGCCGAGCGCCTGTCACGCGTGCCAAGGTGGCCCCCGACGTCGGATCCGTCGTGCTTTGGGCGATCTCGCAGGCAGGGCGGCAGTATCCACCCTGCTTCTCAGGCCCCGTGGGAGCCGATGTACGCCCCACTTTGCCGAGGCTGCCTCCGCCACACTGTGACACATTCGCGCTGCTTTTCCGAGGCGGAAACGTCCTCCCTACTTTTGTTTCATCGTTTGGGGTGCATGCCCGACATCGTCTTCAGTCGGAACATCTACCAGTGCAGCGAATCCGACATCAATGTCGTGGAAGCGCATGGATGGGCCTAACAAACCAGAGGCACGCAGAACTCGTGTGACCAGCGCTGAACTAAAACTGTTCCGTGAGGCTGCGCACACAGGGTAGTTATCTGACGGCCCCCAAAGGCCCTCCATGCAAGAGCGGCAACCTCTGAACAGCCCTAAACCGTGACTTACTCCCACGATTCGAGAAAGCTCTGGGCCTGGAAAGTCTGGCCTCCGGAAGCCCTTTAGGAGGACCCAGGCACCCCAGGAACGCTCTCGGCGAGGCGCAGCTGCTGGAAAGCCCCCCAAGTCGAAACATCATCCAGGAACCACCAGACACTTCCAAACACTTCGAGGACCAGGGGGCTGGGTCCGAGATGCGAAACTCGCTCCCCGAGGGCCTGTCCGAGGAATCCAGCCGTGACAACGCGAAGCCTCCCAGAGGGCCCCCTAGCTGGCACAATCAAACTACAACTCAAAACCCAGTCGCTGCCGCTCCCCTTGCAGAACCCACGCAAAAACGGTAGGGAATTGGCGCGCCCGAAGCGGGTACGAAAAAACATGGGAACGATGCCCCAACAGCAACTATTGTCCAACACCGAAAGCGGCCGCGTTTGGGCAGTCGACTTTGAAACTCGAGTGGACAACGGCCGCGGCAACGCCGACAGCGAGCCCTGCTCCAAACGGGCAAGAACTTCAGTTGTTCTTCGTTCCCAGTCTTTTCGTACCCATTTCGTTCGTGCCGAAGGGTAATGGTAGGGGCCTCCCGAATGGCGTCCGAGTAGATGGAGTCGGAGGATCGCGCCGCATCGGTAATACAATGCCGATGCATCGGCGACGTCGGCGTGAAGAAAATCGGACCCCATATCGAACCGCACTCGCCGATGCGTCGACGATGCCATGGGCTCCTCCGACCCCACCAGCTTCGACCCAGTCTGGAAGGCCTGCGGTCAGGAACTTCTGCTCAGCGCGTCTCGGCGACGGCCCCGGCAGCACGCCATGCCTTGCGAGCAGATGGCGTAGGAGGAGGAAGAGGAGGAAGAGGAGGAGGAGGAGGAGGAGGAGGAGGAAGAGGAGAAGGAGGGGAGGAGGAGGAGGAGGAGGAGGAGGAGGAGGAGGAGGAGGAGGAGGAGGAGGAGGAGGGAGACTGGGAATTGCTCGGGACGTTGACGCGCCTGGGAGTTGGGAAAAGGGGACAGCGTGTCGCGCCGAGGCACGGCTCGGGCGCGGCCTCTCCGACCCCTGGCAAGCCGTCCCCCTTCCGTGACGCCACTCTCCCCTTTCTGGCTCCCTCCTGCGGGCAGTGTCTATGTCCACATCCAGGGCGTCTTGGAGGTTCGGGCTCTCCTCCCCCAAAAGCATGAGGCGCACTGCATATGGATTAAAATCTTGCCCCAGAAGGCCCGATGTTATCCATATCCAGTGCGCCTCGGCCTTGCGGCGCCCCTCCCCAGAACGTCAAAGACGCACTGGATATGGATATAAGTATTGCCCGCACCTCCGGCCGCAGAGGTGCGTCTGGGCGCGCGGCGGGGGGGGGCGTCACGGAAGGGGGTGGCGTGCTAAGGGTCGGTCGGGCCGCCCGTGACTGGTGGTCCAGCACCGGCGGATCGACACTCTGAGCCAAAGTTCCTGACTGCAGAGGTGGCGACCTTGGAGGGAGGAGGGAGGAGGGAGGAGGAGGGAGGAGGGAGGAGGGAGGAGACGACGACGACGACGACGACGACGACGACGACGACGACGACGACGACGACAGCGAGGACGAAATAGACGACCTTTCCCTAAGGCCCCAGGGGTGGGTCCTCAGGCCCGTCGCCGCGGCGCGCCGCAGCAGGCGGTGGAGGCCCTGGTCTCTGGGGAGCGGCGGTCGGCTGGCCAGCGCCGCGGGGTCCCAGGAGGAGGAGGGCCCTTCCAGGAGGGGGAGGGGGATCGAGGGCGGGGAGGAGGAGGATCGAGGAGGAGGCGAGGGTCGAGGGCGAGGATCGGGGGGGAGGATCGAGGAGGAGGAGGAGGAGGAGGAGGAGGAGGAGGAGGAGGAGGAGGAGGAGGACGACGACGATCGAGGCGGAGGGGCCTTCCAGGAGGAGGGGGCCATCGAGCAGGAGGAGGATCGAGGCGGAGGCTCGAAGGCACCTGGGAGCCTCGGGGCGCGAGGCCGCCGAGCCTCCGCGAAGCGCGGCAGGGATGAAAACTCGGAGGTCAGCAAAAGAGGCCAGAATCCCCCGGTTCAGCTCCAAAGCAACTACTTCACATCCTCTAAAGGCGGAAAACCAGGGGCGTCAGGATTGGAGACCTCGGAGTCGAGGTCCGACCGCCAATCTGGTGGCGCGGGCGCGGTGGGCCCATAGGGGCCGTCTGCGCTCCGGGCACGCCTGGCCTCCCGTCGTGATTGCCTCCCGAAAGGTCTCCCGTCATGACATCCGGCATGGCCCCTCGTACGGCCTCCCCATGTGGTCTCCCGGATGGTCTCCGCCCCAGACCCCCTCGAGTTATGAAGAAATCACGACGGGAGGTTCTTCATTCTACTTGGCCTCTGGGGGCCCTTGCCGGCCCTCGGGACCGTCAAAAAACGACTCGGGACGAAAAACCGGTCCCGGGGAATGGGTCCAGACCTCTGGGGGTCGACGTCATGAAAAAATCATGACGTCGGGGGTCTGGGACTGCGGCCTGCCTCCCGTTCTCCCCCTTGTATGGCCTCCCGTGTGGCAACCCCTCGTGGTCTCACTGCATGGGGCCTCCGTGGCTGCTCTCCCGCACGGCCTGCCGTTGATGGTCTGTCGCTTATGGTCTCCCTGATGGTCTCCTGCGTGGTCTCCCGCACGGCCGCCCTCCGGAGCTTCCCCACACAGCGCCTGCACTCAGAAAAATTCTCGCCCTGCCTCCAGGGCGGCCGGGCCCCGGTGCTGCCCCGGCTGGCCCGTGGCCGCCCGTGGCCGCTCGCTGCTGCCGTCCCTCGCCGCCCGTCGCCGCCCGTCGGCGCCGTCCGTCGCCGCCCGTCGGCGCCGCGCTACTTGATTGCTTCGCACTGATTTGCAGTGGCTCGCACTGCTTCGAATTGCTCCTCATTGCAATGCGTAGGTTTGCGTTGAATTGCATTGCACGGTTTTACCTCGCAGCGCCTTGCTGTACATCGCATTGCGTTGCTTCGATTTGCTGTTCATTGCTTTGATGGTCATCGCTTTGCATTGCTTCCCATTGTTTCCCATGGCTTTATATTGTGTTGCGTCGCATTGCTTTACATCGCAGTGCCTTGTGTTACAGTGCTTCGCATTACCTCAGCATCGCATTGCCCTGCATTGCTTTGCATTGATGTGCAACCCATTGGCATTCTATCTCATCGCATGGCATCGCTTTCCATTGCTTTCCGTTGCTGTGCATTGACATGCATGCTTATACGTTGCATTGCATTGTTTTGTATTGGTTTGCATTGCTGCGCACTGCGTTACAGTGCTTTGCAATGGTTAGCATTGGTTTGCATCGTACTGCATGGTATTGTATTGCTTTGCATCGCATGGTTTTGTATTGCTATGCGCCACATAGATTGCAACACCTGTATTGCACCACCTAAGTTGCACCACGTTGCTTGCCCCACCTACTTACTTGGCCGCGACGGAACTTCCCCCAGAAACGCGCAATAGACACTCTCAACATAACCCCAAGACAACGCCAAGGCGAAATCAAGCTGCGGGATTTGCATCCACCCAGGGATTTATGGGAACCGTTCTTTAGGAGTGGGATACTTTATTTCCTGAACTACACCATGGGGGCGGAATCCGGGCCAGACCAAGCACGACGAGTGTTATGCTTGCGTTCTGGGGGGGGGTAGAGGGAAAAATGCCTTCTGACCCCCCCCGCCCCTCTCAGGGCTGCCGTCGCGGCGAGGTCATATCTGCGAGCCACATGTGCATTCGGGCGCCCTCGCAAAAAATGGCAGAACTTTCGCCGCGGCGATGCATGTCTTCTACTCACGAGACAAAACCAAGGCGACTGTATGGACAGTTCGAAATCGTCTCAGAGGCCCAAAGCGACAGCAAAGCGGCGGCAAGGATGCGGCTTTGCGCAAGCGCGAACGGGCGCGCCGCTGCTCACTCTCAAGGCGGCAGCAACGCGTCAGAGGCCCAATGCGACAAGAAAGCGGCGGCAAGGGTACGGCTTTGAGCAAGCGCGGACGGGCGCGTCGCTGTTGACTCTCAAGGCGACAGCAACGCGACAGCAAGGACGCGAACATGCGCATGCACGAACAGGAGACGCGCGATAGATGCTCTCAGTATGACCCCAAGACAGAGCCAATGGGAAATCAAACCGCAGGATTTACATCCCGCCCGGGATTCATGGGAACCACTCTTTTTGACGGGTGGGATCTTCCATCTCCTGAGCTATTCAACTATACGATTTGATTACATCAGGAGGGCGGGATCCGGGCGAGGCCACGCTAGACGAGTGTCATGCTAGCGTTCTAGGGGGATGGGGGTGGGGACATGCCTCCTTAACCCCCCCGCCTCTCTCAAGGCTGCCGTCGCGGCCAGGTCGTATCTGTGAGCCATATGTGTACCCGGGCGCACTCACAAAAAATCAAAGAACTTTCGGCGCAGCGATGTCGACTACGCCGCATCTTTGCACGAGATCACGGCTTGGGGCCCACGGGGCTAACATTCCTTATCGTCTTCGCTATGGCCTCCCGTATGGTCTTACGTATGGCTTCCCGTATGGTCTCCCGTATATGGTCTCACAGATGGTCTCCTGTCAGATATCCCGTATGGCCTCCTGTAACTATGTGCATCATGTCAGATGACCCGCCACCTCTCGAATGGTCCATCGCTTTCGCAGTGCTGCCCAATGCCCACTGCACAGATTACGTGATTCGGATAATGGTTGGCGAGATCGAAGTGGAACGCAGAGCCCCCCACCAGGAAATCGGTTTCGGCTTCGGGTCCGTTTCGCGCGTGCTGGCGAGGCACAACTGCGTGGGCGGGCGAAGGCAATTACCCCGCTGTTGCCAGGGCGGGGCAAGACAACTGTCCGACCCCCCCCAGTTGGGCGGTGGGTGGCCGGGTTGTCCCGCCGTGGTGGCCCGTCGACGTCCCGTCGGTGTCCCGTCGGTGGCCCGTAGGCGTCCCGTAGTGAAACCGACAGTGAAATCGATAGCGAGATCGAAAGTGAGATCGATGGTGAGATCGATGGTGGGATCGATAGTGAAACCGATAGTGGGATTGATCGTGCGATCGATTGTTAGATCGAGCCTCCTTATCGGCCGAAGTGCGGTCGCATAGGTATGCTGCTGAGGGTCTGGTGCCACCAGGGCGCATGTTTGGTATGGAGAGCGGGGGCGTAAATCCTCGAATGGATCGGGCCGTGGGCAGCGCTTCAAGCAGCTGCCAGAGGCCAGCAACGGCAGCCAAAGTCGGCGGCTTCTCCTCATCCCTGGGCTTCCTTCTTTTCCTGGAGATGCCTGCGAAGGAAGTCTCTCCCAGATGCGCGTCGTGTGCAGTGGGGGTCAGTCGCGATCGGGGGCACCACGTGTAGGGTGCACGGGCGAGGACGGGCGAGGAGGACTGGGGAAAGAAACGCACGAACGACAGACTCCTCCGAGGCGCGCCAGTCGGGCCCGCCGGGCCCCACTCGTCGCGTTTGTGGAGTCGATTGCAGGCGGCCGCACGCGAGCGTCGCCTCCAGAGGGAGCCGCGCGCGGCCTGAAGGCACCGTGGAACGCGAGGTGCGGGAGGGCAGGAGAGCAGCAGAGGGAGGAGCGATTCGCAGGAGGTGGCGGTGATGGCCTCGCTCGCAGACGCCTGCCTCCCGCGTGCCCCGGGGCGGGGTCCCCTCGGGGGAGTCCTGCCGTGAGGGAGCTCCGGGGCGGCGGGAGGAGGAGGAGGGCGGCGGCGGGACTCCGCAGAGGGGCTCGATCGACGCGCTGCGGCCCTCGATGGGGCGAGCTCGACCGGGGGCCACGGACCCCGAGGAGGGTGTCGCAGCCTCGGGGCGAGGAGGAGGAGGAGGAGGAGGAGGAGGAGGAGGAGGACGACGAAGAGGAGGAGGGGGAGAAGGAGCGAGAGAGGAGGAATCAGGAACGAGGGAGAACTAGGAGGGAGCAGGAAGGAAGAGGGGAGGAAGGATGCGCTGAGGGATGTGAGGGAGGGTCAGGGGGAGAGGGAGGTCGAGGAGGCGGAATAGGAGCAGCACGAGCGGGAGGAGGGGTCTCTTCGCTTCCTGCGCCTGGGCCACCTGGCCCCTCGGGCCGACAGCCGACAGCGGCCATGAGGTCTCTGTCCCAGGCCTCCGCCCCCAGGAGCACCAGGCAGGCTCGCCTGAGGAGGAGGACAACCGGGTCCACGACCGCTGCACCGGGCCTCCTACGTCTCCTCCCCCATCCCGTCCCCCTCCCCCCTGCTCCCCCTTCCCCTCCTCCTCCTCCTCCTCCTCCTCCTCCTCCTCCTCCTCCTCCTCCTCCTCCTCACGCTCCTCCTCCACGTCCTCCTCCTCCTCCTCCACCTCCTCCTTCTGCTCCTCCTCTCCTCACCCTCCTTCTCCTTCTCTCTCTCTCTCTCTTCCTCCTTCTACTCCTTCCTCCTGCCTCCCCTTTAAAAACAACAGAACACGACATACCTAATATACGCTACTCTGACGGTAGGACCCCGCATAAGAATCTTCCAAACTAATCTGGAAGTAATCATCAACGTAGTCCGTGTGACTACGAAGGTTCTCTTCCTGTCTGGTATCTGCTGGTCCTTGCCGACCCCTGCAAGATTGAGGATGAACGCCTCGGTTTACACAGGACGCTCGGCATGTGAACGAGGCTCCCGCTCGAGACTTTCTCCGGATTCAGGCTTCAGGTGTCACCAAACCTGTGCTCTCACGAGGATCCCCGATGGCCGCATCGGATAAATAATATGATGCGGGGGGGGCTATAGGGACGGGCTCCCGCTCGAGACTTCCTCGCGAACCACTCACAAGCGAACGCCCGAGACGTCCTCTCAGGTTGCTCGGGAACGAGGTTCCCGCTTCAGGACTCCTCGGGTTTCAGGCTCCCGATATCCAGCTGGCCGCCTCTCATTACCAACACGGAGGCGAAGGCCCCGTAGGGAGGGGGCTCCCGCTCCGGACTTCCGCGCGATACACTCACGAACCAGGCTCCCGCTCGAGACGTCTTCTCAGGTTGCTCTGTAGCTGGGACCCCGCTCGAGACTTCCTCGGGGTTATCGCTCCCAGGTGCCACCAAACCTGGTTTTTGCATGGTGTCCCGATGGCCGCCTCGGATTCGGACATGGAGGTGGGGACCCCATGGTGACTCACTCATGGACGAGTGACTCACTCATGGACGAGTGATCGCCCGAGACGTCCTCTCAGTTTGCTCCAGAATGGGGCTCCCGCTCTAGACCTCCTCGGGATTCAGGCCCGGCCAGGTGTCACCCCGATGGCCGCGTCGGATTGGAACATTGAAGAGGAGGGAGGGGCTCCCGCTCGAAACTTCCTCGCACAGACAAGGCTCCCGCTCGAGACTTCCTCAATGTGAGTGTGCGGGTGTGTGTGTGTGTGTGCAATGATGATCAGGCCCTGTCTCCCCAATTAGTGCTTTGCGCGCCCCGCCTAGCTCTTAACCGGAAGAGGCCCGCTCTCGGCCCGCCGACCAAACAAAAAGTGTGTGCAGTGATGATGACGATGATGATGATGATGATGATGATGATGACGATGATGATGATGATGATGATGATGATGCTGATGATGATGATGATGATGATGATGATGATGATAACGATGATCGTTGTCGACGATCGCGATGATATGGTAATGGTTGTGAGGGTGGCGTTGATGATGACGATGTGGCGATGACGTTGACGATAGTGACGGGGGTAATGATGGTGAAGATACTGCAGAGGATACTGATGGCGATGATGATGCTGCTGATGATGATATGATGTTGCTGATGATGATGAGTGCGTCGGTGTGAATGAGCAACTTCAGTGAATGAGTGGGTATGATGATGAGCGAGGCCAGTGATGGTGATGGCGATGACGATGATGAGCGTGGAAGGAGGAGAGGAGTACAGAGCGGGTACGTGAGTGATGGAGATGGTGACGATGATGAAGGTGTGTGTAAGTGTGTGAGAGTTATTGTTCCTGCGCGGGGTGTCCAGAGAACACAAACACCCCACCTAGGATTAGGATGTGGGGAACAAACGCTTCCGGAAGCCTGTGCGAATCTCCTGGGCAGGCGTTAGATATGGCCTGTCCTGCGGATCCTGGAAGAAAGATGCGGATGATCAACACACTATCAGAAGTAGTCAAAAGAGCACGAACATGCGTTACCAGACTGATCTTTACTATTCTTGATTCTTCTGAGGGGCAACGATAGGGGGGGACTGGCATAGAGGGGGGGTTGCATCGACCTGGAATCGGCGATACATCGCCGATAGATCGGCGATAGGCCCCGGACAGTCAATACGCACCTCTCTGGGCAGGTTGGGGCTATCGGGCCCCTATCGGCGATCAATGGGCGATTGGGGGTCGATGCATCCCCCCCTGTGCCTATCCCCCCCTTTCATTGCCCCCGATATTCCTCCTGTGGGGCCGACTTGGGGCCGGCGCTCAACCCCCATCCCGCACCCCCTGGGTGGCGCCGCGGTGCGGCCACCAGCGCGACTCGCGCGCGCGCGCGCCATGAAAAGGAATACGTGGGGAGGGGGCTCTCTGGCGCCGATCCGAGAAAAACCCGTGCGTTACACAGAAGCGTTTAGAAGTCAAAACATCCCCCCCCAGAATAACCACCCCGACACGCGAAGTCGTTTAGTCAACGCGCCCAAAGAAGGAATCGAGCAGGGCAGGGCTGTTTAGTGAATGCCCATGGGGCCCAGTTGTCCGGTCTGGGGTCCCACGAAATCGGAGAAGGGTGCCCAGCGAGGGCCCCCCCCACGGCAGCTTATGCCCCCGACCCCGAGCGCCGCAGCTGGCATGGGATCCTGAGGCATGGGGTCCTGAGGACGAGGCGCCTCGAGCGGCGCAGCTCCGCCCTTGGATATACCCTTTCCCCTCGTTCGCCTCCCCCCCTCCCTTTCTCTCAAAGTGCGCAGTTTCCCCATCGCGCCTCGTTGGAAACAAAGGCTACAACGACGGTCCCCCGAGGCACTGTGCAACTTTCAGTTCCCAACCATCCTGTGGTGTTGGGTCCTCGTTTTGAAGAGACAGCGCCCCGCGTCCTCTCCTCCTCCTCCTCTCCTCCTCCCCT